AGAGAAGGACGGGCGGGTGTCTCTCTATTGTCTCTCCTATTTAAGACGGTATACTGAAAGGTTGAGAAAAGATTCCATTAAAGCAACAACCACTATTTATTAATATATCATTTGCTTCAAATAACGATACAGATTTAGATCGTGTATTGACTGATGTATAATAAGTACATATCAGTTTACGAATGTAAATCATGTTTTTATGATAGTATATACGTCTATAAATGGGATTTTCCACGTATCTTCGTAAGGTCATAGACCTTTATTATTACCTTATCTTCAATCCTCGGCAATTGATATAATTTATTACCTCTGTCACGTGACACCTGTAGAAACCGGAAATCTACAAAGGTATTGTATCTCAGGTGTATCCCGCTGTACGGCCCATGTGAGAGAGATCAGATGAGAATTGTTGCAGTTTTTACCTGCTCCATTAAGTGGTTAATTGACTGTTTCTGTAACTAGAGATGAGTTGCTGGAGTGATACAGGACGCTGGATTCTAGTGGCCGTCAACGTCCTCTGTACCGTGAGTGTTTGTATTGATTTTCTCCATCAATCCATCACCTACTTGTGTGTGTGTGGGCACAGTTGTTGTATCTCCCGTACAATACCAGGTCCTACCTGGTCCCCCTCAGGAGTATACATACATGTATAACGCTTGTTAATGATGTGTCGATACTGGTACCTGTCGTTGTTGTAGCAGAAAGAATGCGATGTTATGTACGACACCTTTTTTGCTAGCTCGACTCACAAACAACACCATCTCTAAAACACGCAAGGTAAAACCTCACTTAGTAATGACAGATCACACGTTTCAGCATATTTCACATAAAATCGTGGCGTTTTTTGAACAATATAATACACCAATATACAAGTGATGTCTATAACATGGCGTTACAGGTTGTGTGTGGTTAACTGAGACAAGAACAACAGGCATTAAGAACACACATGATCTATATTGGATAATAGGAACTCGAACCAACACAGATGCAAAAAGAGTTATTTTTTTGTGATTTGTTCACTAAATTACACAGAAACTAAATCAAGATAACAATACCTTGTAACTTAAACGTTCCACTATTTGGCAATATATCGAACATTATACGCACAGCTGGTGTGGCTTACGGCAGTGTTGCCATCATTTGTTTGTGTACACTAATAATAGTATGCATCGGGACAAAATATCTTCAATCACAGAAAGCTACTGTCTAGAGGGGTTTATTGAAATGTGCTCTATAAGCAGTCAGTAATCACTGATGTTTAGATATTTCAATATATCTAGTTTTAACACCCAATTGAAGATCATTCCAGATAAGATAGTACCAGTAAGAATATATAAAAGCAGACGTACAAAAAAATATCCAAATTGGGACAACATCATTATCCCCCATGGCCTTTCTAAGACCAGCGGACGTTCATATCTATCCTAAGTAAAGTTATTGCTATGAACGTCCATTGGTCTTAGATGGAGGCTTGCTATCGGTACCTTTACATAGGACGGGCATCACTAACCTCCATTTACGAGAAGCGGACGTACATATCAGTAACCAAACTAAGGACAGACACCATTAACCTCCATCTACGAGAAGCGGACGTGCATATCAGTAACCAAACTAAGGACAGACATCACTACCTCCATCTACGAGAAGCGGACGTACATATCAGTAACCAAACTAAGGACAAACATCACTACCTCCATCTACGAGAAGCGGACGTTCATATCAGTAACCAAACTTAGGACAGACAAGACTAACCTCCATCTACGAGAAGCAGACGTACATATCAGTAACCAAACTAAGGACAGACATCACTAACATCCATCTACGAGAAGCGGACGTACATATCAGTAACCAAACTAAGGACAGATGTAACTACATCCATCTACGAGAAGCGGACGTACATATCAGTAACCAAACTAAGGACAGATGTCGCTACCTCCATCTACGAGAAGCGCACGTACATATCAGTAACCAAACCTAGGACATACATCACTATTCTCCATCTAAGATAGGGGGTCAAAAACATCAGTAACCTAAGTTATGACAGACATCATCTTTCTCAATTTCAGAAGAGCGGACGAACATATCAATAACCATACTTAGGACAGACGTTTAAACTTCCATTTCAGACAAGCGGACGAACATAGAAATAATAGCCAATAGCCTCCCTTTAATACCAGTGAACAAACATAACAATAACCATACTTGGGACAGACTTTTAACCTCCAATTCAGACCAGAGGACGAACATAACAGTAACCATACTTTGGACAGACTTTTAACCTCCATTTCAGACTAGTGGACGAAAATATCAGTAACCATACTTAGGACAGACTTTTCACCTCCATTTCAGACCAGTGGACGAACATATCAATAACCATACTTAGGACAGACTTTTAACCTCCATTTCAGACTAATGGACGGTCATATCAATAACCAAACTTAGGACAGACTTTTAATCTCCATTTCAGACCAGTGGACGAACATAACAGTTACCATACTTGGGACAGACTTTTAACCTCCAATTCAGACCAGAGGACGAACATAACAGTAACCATTCTTTGGGACAGACTTTTAACCTCCATTTCAGACCAGTGGACGAACATAACAGTAACCATACTTGGGACAGACTTTTAACCTCCATTTCAGACCAGTGGACGAACATAATAGTAACCATACTTAGGACAGACTTTTCAACTCCATTTCAGACTAGTGGACGAACATGACAGTAACCACACTTAGGACAGACTTTTAACCTCTTTGACTAGGGAGACACAGCCGGAAAAATGAGAATGTGAGAGAAATGCTTTATATTAATTGAATAAGACACTTCGCCTAAACTATTTGCTAACGAGTAACGTTATACTTATGTCAGTCCAACGTATGTTAAATATAATCCAAGTGTTAACCAATTTAGACAAGGTTAGCGATGTTAATATTTCCGTGTTGTACTACATGTACTATGGTGCTTTCCATCGGGAACAATCTTGGTATTATTGTTAGAGTTGCCGGGCAGATTCGGACATCGTCAGTGTTGCCGGGCAGATTCGGACATCGTCAGTGTTGCCGGGGAGATTCGGACTGTCAGTGTTGCCGGGCAGATTCGGACATCGTCAGTGTTGCCGGGCAGATTCGGACATTGTCAGTATTGCCGGACAGATTCGGACATCGTCAGTGTTGCCAGGCAGATTCGGACATCGTCAGTGTTGCCGGGCAGATTCGGACATCGTCAGTGTTGCCGGGCAGATTCGGACATTGTCAGTATTGCCGGGGAGATTTGGACACTGTCAGTATTGCCGGGCAGATCCGGACATCGTCAGTGTTGCCGGGCAGATTCGGACATTGTCAGTGTTGCCAGGGGGGTTCAGACAGTATCAGTGTTGCCGGGGAGATTCGGACACTGTCAGTGATGCCGGGGGATTTGGACAGTATCAGTGTTGCCGGGGTGATTCGGACATTATCAGTGTTGCCGGGGAGATTCGGACACAGTCAGGGTTGCCGGGGAGATTCGGACACAGTCAGTGTTGCCGGGGAGATTCGGACACTGTCAGTGTTGCCGGGGAGATTCGGATAATGTTGCTCCCTAGATACACCGTAATAGAAATGTTCCCTCGGGAAAGGGATGTACTAGATTATCAATTTTGATAAAACTTCTGTAAATCAGAAAGCAGAGAAATGTTACTTATATATATGGCCTATATATTGATTTCACTAGTAATTTATGAAGGGAGATAACTTTATTTAGAAGCACAATCATAATCTACGCTGATGTTTATCTTTGACAGAAGTCAGTTGAATGAGGAACCCTCGGAATAATATGAACTGAGATTGGTCAACCCAGCGATGATTCGATTTCTTAACAAAATGGTGAATAAAAATAACCAATATCACACTATTGTGTATCGATTATCCAACAAGACGTATAGTTCTATGTTCGTCCACAGGTTTTTAAAAATATACAAGGTTATAATTAGAAGAATTAAAAAATACAAACAAACAATTTAGACAAATGATAAGTTAACTACCGAAATTCAAAATATGCACTCCCCTCTCGATCCCTACAAACTACCGTGCCAAATCATCGGTTTTTTCCAATCGTTATAATTATATTATTATACGTATACAAATAGCCTTTTTTTATATGCAAGTGTTCATTATTAATTCTGGTGGTGTTTTTTTTATAAATTTTTCATATGACCAAGACTGTGATTATGCTATATATATTGTATTGTTATATACATTTTTAGTTTTCTAAAATGTTATTTATTGATGCAGGATTATACTGTAATCTAGTCGAAGTCTAAATATGTAAAGGAAAACGGTCCGTCTGTGTGAACGATCTGCTACCAAACACCATAGGCCGACTCCTTATCTGATATCCTTCAAATCGAAGTTATTTTATCTTATTAACTCATAATATATAAAATTGTATTAAAAAATAAACGTTTTAAATCTCAAACTACTAATTTCTTCTCGACAACGCCAACTTATTTCTTCTACAAAGAGGACATACGATAAGTGGCTGTTATTGGTGATTACCAGACATTTTTTATATAGATACATGACGGTATATATATACGTAGGAGTGATATCAGCAAAATTAGAATTAGATTATTGTTATCTAAGCCGTGTTTAAACCAATAACAAGTCAGCTTTCGTTATACCTTATTATACTCTAGACATTATAAACGAATTATTGAAGCTTCTATGAATGTGTGAGGCATCTATTAAAGTCAATATATCCTTTTATTGAGATGTATCTATTATATTCTAAGACATCGTCAATTTATAAAAGGAAATCCCCATTCTTTAATATCCCGCATATTGTCGTGACCCCTGTTCGGGTATTAAATTTCAATTGGCGTACCACCAGGCTTTTATCAAGAAACATGGCGGTTGTAGTGATACAGATAGCCTTTTTCTATATTTAATTGATATAAAATACTCAAATGTGTTGCTATTGTATGGGCGTTGTCACTGCATAGCCCACCATTAAACAGCGTAATGGTTTTGTGCACTCATCTGGGTCACCTATTTCTATAAATAGGACCTAGTGTTTATTCCGGTTTAACAAGCTGTAGCTTTTAGATGTTTTTAACTGGAAGTAAATTCTCCCGAACTGGTTATCTTTTAGCTATATATACGTGAAGTGGACGTGTAACTTTACAGTATAGGGTTACGAGTGGCCAGACGAGTCTCCTAGCGGTACCTTCGTGAGTCAATAGACCGTCGTTCAGAGTATATCTTTGTGGAACCAATAAGGAAGAACACTAACTCATCGAAAGAAATATGGCGAACTGTTGTTCGAGTTGCGGGAAAGTTCTGCTGGTGGCGGTCAACATTTTAGTTGGTGTAAGTAGACGCCGGGACAATCGGACACACCGTCATACATTACAATGTTTATAACACCGCCATTATTTACCTGGTTGTGAAATAGCTACGCACCTGTAAAGTAAATATCACTATAAACTCACAGGGTGGTGACGTAGCGATACATTGATATTGTTAAGTTTCTGAATATGTCGAGGAATGTTGGCAAGTTGTGTTTTATCTCGAGTAAAAGTGAACATAGAGTTAATTTGTATTCGATATTTAAATTGTCTAATGTTTATGTAGGGGAGATAACCCTGATATCCTCGATGTATAGAATCGATGATTAATTTTTATATACATGTAAGACACAGAGCTAACGGTATCGTAACACTTTATTAACAATCGTTTTAGTAATTGGTTGATGGTCCTGATGTATGACACTTATATGTGACCGTGTACGTCTGTGGGCCACTAAGTATCTACGTATATAGCAGGTCCAGTACACTGCCGATTGAGCTATATAGTTATAAAGACCTATATATAGCTATATTCACCTATAAATAATTATAGCTGTATTGAGCTATATTTTCTAAGATTTTAATTTTCATTAAATTAAAGCAATGTCTCATAAAACAAAAAGGTTTATGGTAATGTCGACTACAAAAAGCCTACATTTAGATGTTTATTTTCATTTTTCATATATGTAAAATTTCCGATTTTTTTACATCATTATTTTTTAAAAAGAATACCTATATTAAATGTCTTCTGTTATCAACCTAATGATAAAATATTCTTTTAAAAACGACTTTGTTTCGTTATCCCTAAAAAGAAAATCACATGAAAATAGCTCAAAAGACCTATTTCAGATAAGTCAATGGAGTTATTACAGGTCTTTACAGCTATATAGCTCATTCGGCAGGGTGTACTGGACCTGTATATATATCTACGTAGTCTTATATGACACATTTCCTAAAATGGCTGTTTTCCATTCATGTGTTCTTAGTCGATATGACTTGGGTCAGACTATTACATACCATCGTAATAAAAAAATATATAAATTCTGTATTGTACAAAAAACGTGGTGTCGCTAGATTGTTTTGCTGCCATTGCCACAGGAGCTATTTTCCCAGAGAAAACACAATATTTCCCTTATACACGAACCACTGGAAATCTTAAATCGTGACACCTGACTCTCGATGAACGTCATAAAGAAACAACGCCCTCCGACACTATAATAATGTATAAACCGGTCCGTATGAATACACTCTGGGTACAATAACGTAGCATACGATTACTTCACATCAACGTTATTTAGGAGCATGCCTCACTGAACACGTGCTTGTCGTCTGGAGTCATTTGTGTAAGTTTGATGTACAAATGTGTATATATTACATTATAGGCGTTTACCGGCGTGATGAGGCATTTTTCGTGTATTGGAACACTTTTTTTAAATAACACGTCACACATATATACAAATAAATGAAAAACTGATTCGGGTGGAAAGGTAAAACATAATTCGGGTGTCTTTAACAAAACATAGGTATCTTGTGTGCTTGTACATGCATAACAGCCACACAAGATACCTACAGAATCCTGCATGAGATTCTGTTTTCATAAATGACACGAGATTAAGATTTTTTCAGTCGAGTGAACCTCTGGTCTACCTTTCGCCACACGAATCAAGAATTTCTTTTTTTCAAATATTAAGATGGATTTTGAAGTTTAAAGTTTCCGCCATCTTGGCTCCATATCCATTTTCTTCATGTGACGTCATAAAATAAGCTAGTAGTATGTGACGTCATTTCATTACTGTTTCATTAAGTTAAAAGAGGTCATATACAATTTCATACAAAAAATATGACTATTCACTGAATACCCTGCTGGTTATGTGATAGATACACGAGAAACATATATCACACAAGACAAATACCCTCTATACCACTCTGTGTAAATATGAAGGGCCAGGAATAAATACACTTGTAAATATGAAGGGCCAGGAATAAACACACTTGTGTATTTCTAACGAATCAGAAAGCACGAGTTAGAAAAACACAAGTGTGTGGTGTTGCTTTTATCACATACCTTCCGTATTTGGTAGAGATCCATACAAAGATTTTATAAACTTTGATTTTTTTTGCAAATAACGGGAACTTTTCAGTTCGCCATGACAAGGGGATTCCCATAAAAAGTAGTTCCGGCTAGTAGGTAAATACAACATTCCGTATTGCACATGTGTAATACAGAATGTTGTATTTCAAGGTCTGAAAATTGGTTGTATTACTATAACAAGATTCAACAGGTATGTGATAAATAGAGAAGTATATATGCCTTTTTCCATATCACACCCAGTTTCAACCCGAGACTGCAATATCAGCACAAGGGCCGAAGGCCCGAGGGCTGATATTGGTCTCGGGTTGATACTGGGTGTGATATGGAAAAAGGCATGTTTTATTCTGTTTATAACAAACTTACTAATAAAAGCTACTATCTTATAATCTATTTGTCTTTTGAAATATTGAAAAACAAAAACAAAACAAAAAGAGGTATGATACGGGTTTTGCGGGCTGATGCGGGTTTTGGGGTGTGATACGGCGGGGGCTGATACGGCTTTTGAGGTGTGATACGGCGAGGGCTGATATGGGTAAGAGCATATTGTGTCGTATCGCATATTCCAAAAAAAAACTATTTATTAGTAAGTATGTAATAAATACATATATGTAACATACATCATACGTGTACACACCATGTGTATACTACTCTGTGTAAATAGGAAGGGCCAGGAATAAATACAGATAAGTGAATAATATGCAAGACCACACACTTGTGTTTTTTAACGAATCAGAAAGCACGAGTTAGAAAAACACAAGTGTGTGGTCTTGCTTTTATCACATACCTTCCGTATTTGGTAGAGATCGATACAAAGATTAAACTTTGTTGTGTTTTTTGCAAATACCGGGAACTTTTCAGTTCGCCATGACAAGGGGATTACCATAAAAAGTAGTTCCGGCTAGTAGGTAAATACAACATTACGTATTGCACATGTGTAATACAGAACGTTGTATTTCATGGTCTGAAAATTGGTTGTATTACGATAACAAGATTCAACAGGTATGTGATAAATACATATGTGTTATATACATCATACGTATATATTTCATTAAAAACTACATGTTATAGGATTTTAAAAAAAAATAGAATATAATCACAAATTCATTGTTGAAACCGGAAGATGGCATAATATAGAGTATAATGAAAGAACATGTCCACACTGTAACAGTCAGCAAATTGGTGACGAATTCCATTACTTGCTTGAGTGTCCGTCATTATCTGGGTTTCGAATTTTATATATAGACAAATATTTTTAGACGAGACGAAATGTAATTAAGCTTTATGAATTAATGAATACTACTAATATAAAAACACTGAAGAAACTTTGTACTTTTATCAGAATAAGTAATAACAATATTTGACCTCCTCGATATAAATGTGTATATATTATGAAACAGTACTGTGTACTACCGACTACGAACACTACAATTACTATATATTATATTGTAAATATGTTTCTCTATACATGGTATTGTGAAAGAGAATAAAGTTGAATTGAATATATACACACCATGTGTATACCACTCTGTGTAAATATGAAGGGCCAGGAATAAATACAGACATCCATCAGTGTTCACACTAGTACTAACACAGCAGAAATACCATTGATGAACGCATTGTTAAAATTTGATCACGTCATCGTTATTTATAGCCATACAGGTTGTATTAGATAAGAAAATATTACTACTGTCATGTTCACAATCATAAAGCTAACAATAATACTGTGATTTTGTCTAAAACAAATCTAAATGTCCTTTCGACTTAAGGTTTCGCGAAGGAGATTCATGAGTGATACTAAATTATGTACGTTTCACTACATTCATTTTTGACATAAACATTTAGATGTATTTCTAAAGACTGTTTAAGGATACTGTATAAGCTCAAAAAGTAAGACTTTTTACACACATGCGTTACTGGGCCAATGTGGTATTGCCATGCAGGAAGTAACTCAAAAATATCTAAATGTATTTATAATATATATATATATAATATAATGACAAATGCGTTCACCCTTTACCAACACGATTGTGAAACCCACCAGTCAAGTGCCACGTGGCTTCTGTCATTCCCCTCAATGATAACAAAGATGTATTAAGTGGTGTGTCTGCTGTAACTACTCTAAATGGTGTATATAACTGTCACGTGGTACGTGTTCCTCTGTTACTACTCTCAATGTGTATATAGCTATGTCACGTGGTACGTGTTTCTCTGGTACTACTCTCAACTGTTTATATAGCTATGTCACGTGGTACGTGTTCCTCTTTTACTACTCGCAATGGTGTATATAGCTATGTCACGTGGTACGTGTTCCTCTGTTACTACTCTCAATGGTGTATATAGCCATGTCACGTGGTACGTGTTTCTCTGTTACTACTCTCAACTGTGTATATAGCTATGTCACGTGGTACGTGTTCCTCTGTTACTACACTCAATGGTGTATATAGCTATGTCACGTTGTACGTGTTCCTCTGTTACTACTTTCAATGGAGTACATAGATATGTCACGTGATACGTGTTCCTTTGCTGTTACTACTCTCAATGGTGTATATAGCTATGTCACGGGGTCCGTGTTCCTCTGTTACTACTTTCAATGGAGTACATAGATATGTCACGTGATACGTGTTCCTCTCCTGTTACTACTCTCAATGGTGTATATAGCCATGTCACGTGGTACGGGTTTCTCTGTTTCTACTCTCCACTGTGTATATAGCTATGTCACGTGGTGCGTGTTCCTCTATTACTACTCTCAATGGTGTATATGGCTATGTCACGTGGTACGTGTTCCGTCATTCCTATTCGCAATGGTGTACATAGCTATGTCACGTGATACGTGTTCCACTGTTACTACTCTCAATGGTGTATATAGCCATGTCTCGTGGTACGTGTTTCTCTGTTACTACTCTCAACTGTGTATATAGCTATGTCACGTGGCACGTGTTCCTCTGTTACTACTCTCAATTGTGTATATAGCTATGACACGTGGTACGTGTTCCTCTGTTACTCCTCTCAATGGTGTATATAGCTATGTCACGGGGTCCGTGTTCCTCTGTTACTACTCTCAACTGTGTATATAGCTATGTCCCGTGGTACGTGTTCCTCTGTTACTACACTCAATGGTGTATATAGCTATGTCATGTGGTAGGTGTTCCCTCATTCCTACTCGCAATGGTGTACATAGCTATGTCACGTGATACGTGTTCCTCTGCTGTTACTACTCTCAATGGTGTATATAGCTGTCACGTGGTACGTGTTCCTCTGTTACTACTCTCAATGGTGTATATAGCTATGTCATGTGGTACGTGTTCCCTCATTCCTACTCGCAATGGTGTACATAGCTATGTCACGTGGTACGTTTTCCGCCGGTACTTTCCCAATAGTGAAACATAACTGTTCTCTGTTTTAGCTCCTCGGCATTGCACTACTGGTCGGTGGATGTCTTCTAAAGTTTGGAAGTGGCCTGATAGAGGTGGACAGCTATATTGAGAACACTCTGGCCGAGGTCGTCCTGGACGGTATCGAACAGTCACTGTCCGGTGTCTTAGACAACATTGTCATCATCTGCATCGTAGCAGGAGCCGTCATCTTCATCCTCTCGCTTCTTGGTTGCCTCGGCGCTTGTTGTGAATGGAAAATAGCTCTGGTTATTGTAAGTATGTGTTCATGTGTTAGGCTCCAAAGTGAAGTGGGTTTCAAACTATGAGAGTGGGTTTTAACCTATAAAGAAGATAGAAAACAACACGAGAGTATTATTTATGGACATCTACAGCGTATTTTACATGTGTTATCCTTAAGCATAAGACTAGTAAAATTGAAATACAAAGATTTCCTTTAAAGCTACAATAGAAGACACGGGGTATGATTTAGGCCGTATAACTGACCGTGCTGTTTGTTGTTCCAGTATTCTATCATCGTATTCCTGGTGTTGGCGGCGGAAGTAGCTCTCATCGTCTTGGTGATACTCTTCAGAACGGAGGTACGTAAAAAGTGTGGTGCTTAAATCATTATCCTCTAACTGTCGTAGTTCAACATAACACATGATTTCATTTAAATTAACAAAACTTCAAATAAAGCTACTATGCATGATTTTACACAAAAGAAAATTGTTAACGTTATTGCAATGGCGTGATAGCACCTTCAGAGAAAACTGATGTATATGTTTATTCCCCAGATTAAATCTACTATGAAGGACGCCATGAACCAGACCCTGTATGAAACATATGATAACAGGGCTGATAACAACGTCGTCATCGGCTGGAACACGCTGTTCTATAAGGTAAAGATTGGTTCGGTAAAACACACTGTTATATAAGGTAATGATTGGTTCGGTTGGAACACACTGTTCTATCAGGTAAATATTGGTTCGGTGGAACACGCTGTTCTATGAGGTAAAGATTGTTTCGGGTGGAACACACTGTTCTATAAGGTAAAAAATTGGTTCGGTTTAACACACTGTTATACGAGGTAAAGATTGGTTCGGTTGGAAAACACTGTTCTATAAGGTAAAGATTGGTTCGGCTGAAACACACTGTTCTATCAGGTAACGATTGGTTCGGTGAAACACGCTGTTCTATCAGGTAAAGATTGATTCGGGTGGAACACGCTGTTCTATAAGGTAAAGATTGGTTCGGTGAAACACACTGTTCTTTCAGGAAAAGATTGGTTCGGTGAAACAAACTATTCTAACAGGTAAGGATTGGTTCGGTTGAATACGCTGTTCTATCGGGTAACGATTGGTTCGGGTGGAACACACTGTTCTATAAGGTAAATATTGGTTCAGGTGGAACACACTGTTCTATACGGTAAATATTGGTAAGACGGAACAAACTGTTCTATAAGGTAAAGATTGGTTCGGGTGGAACACACTTTTCTATAAGGTAAAAATTAGCTTTGCTTAAACAAGCTATTCCATAAGGTAAAGATTTGTTCGATGAAACACCCTGTTCTATCTAAAGGGTAAAAATTGGTTCGTGTGGAATACGCTATTCTATAAGGTAAAACAATTGCTCTGCTTCGTCAATAAACATTCAATAAAAGCCTTTACATCAAATAAATGTATCAATGCACCAATTACACGTCATTTGTATATCCAATACAAGTGCTGTACATCGGAATCACATATTATCCAACCAGAATATTTATATATACAACCAGCACGTGGGTGATACATTCGTTTCACGTGCAGTAATCCAGATCCATTACAGGTGTAAAACATCATATGCATGTATAATACATTTCATACAAGTGTTTTACTCCCAGTAGATCTGTATTGCATTACTATATTTTGCTAATATGTAATACATCTACATGTAATACGTCCAATACACGTGTACCACATTCACTACACCTGTACTTATATATTCCAGTTTGAGTGTTGTGGGGTTGATGACTACATGGACATTCAGAACGCCAAGAACTTTACACAGACGAATCCTAAATTCAAAGTGATCCCATTCTGTTGTAAAGACATCGACTTCAACTACCCGAAACTGACCCCACCCCCAGGGGACAGTTCCTACAACTGCTCAATGCACCCGTCTCCAGAGAACTCTAATTATAGGAAAGTAAGTTCATCCATCTGAGGGTGTCGGGGTTCCATTTAAATGTTTATTGTTATCAACAGTGTCACCTGGGATAAACTGTACAATTTTAGCTGTAAATAATATCAACCACGGAAAGATGTCTGTTGACATTAGTGACAGCTTCTGTGGTAATGTTTACATTGTTAACAAAGATGTCACCAGTTGTAAAATCAATTGTGGCAGGTAGGATGTACATTCCTAACAATGACGTCTGGCGGTAAGATTATTATTTATTATTAATGACGTCATCAGTGGTAAGATGTACATTTTAGGACCACGTCATCTGTTATAAGGTGTACATGGTTGACGATGACGTAATCGGTGGTTAATTATATATGTGTTACCAATAACGTTACATGTGGTCAGATTATTTTGTTAGCAATGTTATCATTGCCCTCCATTTTGGAGTTTACAGTGCTGGTTAATGAATCAACTCTGAGCAAGGGTTAGCTAGGCTCCTGTCTTAGGATAGTCGATTTTTCTTTTCGTAATGAGCTGTTTTTAAATTTCTGATGACTAATTCTCCTATTTGATGGTTCTCAGTTATATTGGATCGCTTTAGACTGATTTCTGGGTGTGTTGTTTTACAATTCTGAAGCTTAATACATAGGTTACCGATAATATTCAATGATATATCCAGTTCTGTGCAATAGTAAGTTAGCAATTGACATCATTAGCTATCTTTAGGTTCCAATCGATTTCTACTTCAATTACATAAATATAAATGTTGTCAATTTCACAGGGATGTTTCCAGACCCTCCAGGATTTCCTCGAACTGTACCAGAATCTATTTCTAGGTGTCGGTATCTCATTAGTTGTCATACAGGTAAGTTTGTGATATGCTGTTATTATTTGGTAAATTATAGGTAGATTTTCGCCAACATATTGCTTTAGAAATTGTTGCTTTCAACAAAACTTATTTTCACATATATACACTAAGTCATATTAAATTAACATATTAACAATATTACTATTTCATCATAAGATGGAATGCCATTATTTGAGGTAAATGTGGTAGCTAGACAATACAGTGTGGGATAGATGATACAATATGAGCATTATACAGTGTAGAGAAACATTACAGTATGAATTTACTTAATACAAACAAGCAAAATAATCCAATGATAAATTCTAACGACTTGTTTTTTCATTATAGATTCTCTGTCTAGTGGCAGCCTGCTGTATCTGTCGTGAAATTGGCGATGGTGGCGGCAAAGCAGTGTGAAATCAGTGTGAAATCGGTCTGAGATCAGTGTGAAGTCAGTGTTAAAACAGCGCTACTTTAACACACCCCTTGTAGATATGGTTTTGTAATATTACTGAGACATGTTCTTTATCTAATGAGGGACACATTCCTTGTAACTTAAATCTGTACTATCTCATCAGCATGATGCCATTGGGAAACCCTTCTAGCAGTGTGTTATCACTAAGAACACTGCTGTCATATTGACTTACCAGTATGGTATCAATAGAAACACATCTTTCAGCTGAAACACAGGTTACAGCTTATTTCAGCTGTATTGTATCCGTGGAAACACAGATTTCAGCTTATTTCATCTGTGTGGTATAATTGGAAACACAGATTTCAGCTTATTTCAGCAGTTTGATTTCAGTGGAAACACAGATTTCAGTCTATTTCAGCTGTGTGGTACTGAGGCAGAAAGGTAGTATCTTCTCTCACTGTGATATCAGTGGTACACATTGCTTATCGGTGTTCTAACAGGGGTATATATACTCAGTTTTACAAAAAAATGTCAAATGAAACCTCTGACTACCAGGTTAGATGATGATGACACATATTCTCTTCACAAGCAGCGAAGGGAGTACGTAGACTGATTGGTTCAGTCGGCACAGGAACCCCTGTTTCTACAATAGGTTCCTCTCTTACATACCCGGTGTTCTAAGACTCATAATGAAAAAATAAGTAGATAAAAAGTTAGCTGTTGTAAAATATCTTTAGTGGTACCAGTGCATATTTATTTAGCAATACCATAAGCAACTGTATATCTTATCAATGCATGACCGGCTACCTCTACTCGCATTTCGTTTGTAAGTCTGCTATCGAACCTGTCGCGAACTGTACCTGTATCAGTGTTAATGTCACCGTGTGTGATGCATTTTTATCAATTAAGCAGATACAATGCATTAATTGTATCTTTCCTATCGCTGGCACTGTGATAAGTTTGATAGTTTGTAGCAAAATGCTGAGTCCTATGTCATCACATAAAATGAGTTATTAAAATAAACACAGATAGCCGTCATCATCAACTGTTTTATTATGTACAAATATTCCCCAGAATAACAAATCATGAATCAGAAATTCAGTTTCTGAAATTGAATTAAGAAAAATGGTATCAGTTTATTGAATTTGTGTTGAAGTAACTGTATATTTCCTGTATTTACTTTTTTGTACAGTTACTGTAAAGTTACTTTATATTTCATATATATAGTAGCCGTATGAATTATTTGGTGCATAGTTAGTATATAATCACTATATATTAACTATAAGTGTGCTGTATATTTACTAAAGAAAAGAAAAAGAAAAAAATCCGACAATGATAGAAGAAAGCTACAATTTGTAGGTTTGTGAAATAGACAGCTATTTACATGGTACATAGGTGAATCCACACATCTGTGGCTGATATTAACTCATTCACCCCTGAAGACACATTTGAATTCTTCCAATTCAAAGATTGGAATAGTTCATTATGAAATTTCAGGGGTGAATGAGTTAGATTGTGGGTTTGTGAAATCGACAGCTACTTGACAACGGTTGTGTGTATAGGGTATTAGAGGCATCTTCAATGCAATACTTGATTACTTTCTCACGCGATGTTTCTATTACGTTTCTCAGATTGATGTTTTAATTTTATAAGAAAAATAATTAAATAAAAAACTGTTATTTATCCACGGCTTATCGTGTTTTATATAAACGTTTCAAATTGTGTTTTATCGAAACTTTAAGTCACCAGTGGGATTGTTGAACCTAATGAAAACGTCATAACAAGAGGTCCATGGGGCCTGTATTGTTTGCCTGAATATTGTATGGGTTGGAAATCTCAACCGGTTTTTTAAGTTATGATCCAGTAGCTTAGTAACAGAGTTGCGGGACAATTCTGGCAGCTGTGTGTTTTCGCATTCTTATTCAACAATTGAATGTATTGCTAAAGGGTGTTGTACGAACCAGTTCCTTGTTATTTCCCACGGATTAAGTTCTTATGTGCAGAGGCAGACCCTGAAGGCAAACCTGGTAGCATATCTGTATTGGAACTATTCATGCATAGCAATTGTTACCGGTTATAGGGAGATGATCTTAACTGTTTCATATTTGCTAACCTGGGGTGTTACAAGATCCCAGGGTCAATTCTGATATCATGATTGTGTTCGTCTTATCATGCCCAGCAAGTGTATACATCGTTATGAGGAGATGATATCAGCCTTTTCATAATTACTACCCCGGGAAAAAATTACCAGGGGTAGGGTCAGACCCCAGGAACATCATGCATACCCTTAGCAGTCATTTATATCGTTATAGGGTGGAGATTTCGACCATTTCCAAACTGAATAGGCAAACCTTTCCTGCTTTATTCGACGTCACTTCCAATGCTTCCAACCAAATATGGTTGAAGTGGCTTACAGTAATGTGGCTAGATTACCGTCGTCTTGGCCCTACCCCACACCTTCAACTGTCGCTCACAAAATTGTACATCTGTCAACTGAATTTAACCAGTAACGATAACAAACTTCAACCCTCCAAATTCAAGATGGTTGTCAGTCAGCCACCTTGCTTTTACACAACCAGGAACCGTGCAGAACCTACATGTGAATTTTGAGAAAGATATATCTGGTAATTTCTGAGAAATGGCGCTAACAATCTCCAATAGCAGGTAATATACATTGTTGTTATTAACTAACGACCAGCAATACGTTCACCCCACCAAAACATGATGTGGACCTCTTACCTCCTACAGAAGAAGTAGGCAGTGTACTTTGTTCAAGCAAAAGCCATCAGATTCAGATTATTTGATTCCATGTGTAAGACACATCGGCGAGTAGACATACAATCACATACAAATAATACAGTTTATTACAAATGTACAATGATACATGTATACAATAATAGTCAAATACAATAGGATGCATATTGTACAGTGGCATACGTGATAACAATACAGTATATTACAATAAAATACACATTAATCGTGCAGTACGACAAAATGACATACATCATAATAGACAGCACATTAAATTGAAATACAGCAAAATTAAAGTATGTACAATAAAAACACTGCCCTTGACGTTAGTGACAATGATATTACTTACATTTACGCACCATCACTCGGCGATGAAGTTACAGGTTAATGTGACTCGTAGACTGAAGACAAAACAATATCACCAACAGCGACAACATATAACTTCAATATGGTAACGGATGGTTCGAACCCTAGGCGTTACATTTCCCTGATCCAAATACGTGTGTAGCGAAAACTGAACTGGGTCGATCGTTGGCGACCAGGTAGCTCAATTGGTAATGCGTCCGTCTACAGTTCGGAAGGTCCCGGGTTCGAAACCCGGTCTGGCCAATGTATTTCTCTTTCTACTGTTATAGTGGTGCATGTGACCAACCCTTGTTTCAACCATATGGTGTATGCTTGGTAAGGGGATACCCGAACCTGGGTTGTAAATAGTTGTGTCTTCGTGGGCGAAGATTTAGAAAAAGGAGGGAGGAATGTAGGGAAACTGGACCGGGTCGATCTTCGTGACCAGGTAGCTCAATAGACGATAGAGCGTCCGTCTAGAGTACGGAAGGTCTAGGTTCGAACCCCGGTCTGGACGTTGCATTTCGCTTTCTCCTGATACATTTGTATATTGTCCCACGATGAGTATAGTGGACTTTGGTGACTGTAGCTGGACTGGATCGTGTCTATCGCCGGTCATTTAGAAGCTTGGTAGCCTATTAGAGCGTCTGAGTTTGGCGGTTACGCGTTCGAACCCCTATAGCGTAGGAGTCTCTTCGGTTTAATTCCAATGACGTCACCGGAACCATGCTTTCACTCCTACGCTGAACCCCTACCTCGGATCACCAATGATTCCTCCAGAACAGCGGCTTGACATATTCAACGGTAATTTCACATTAAGAAAAATTATGACGAAAACGAGGGAGGGATACCAGGGTTGGAGTGCCCCGGGTATCGTGTAGCCTCTACTTCTAGTATTTTATCAACAATGATAATGATAATGATTCGAGGGTCTTATATACCGCTTTATCACGACCTAGTTCGTAGGTCGTCTCAAAGCGGTTCACAAATTATTATCCATAGTTATAGGGTCTTTCTCAACTCCCTGGGTAGCATACAGCTGGTGCTGCCATTTTGGCGCTCACAGCTAGCATTCAAAAATTCTAGCACTGCCCAACCACGTATTCATTTACAGCTGAGTAGACTGGAACAAGCGGAGTAAAGTATCTTGCTCAAAGATACAACACAGTACCGTCCCGTGACTCGAACCCGCAACCCTTCGGTCATGAGTCCGGCGTCCTACCACTATACTACCGTGCCTCGTAATATTTATATTCTATACAAAAAGCGTATTGATTAGACAAAGAACTCGATTGACCGTGAATTTTAAGTGCGATTTGCTTATGTAAGTACATCAAGATTTTATCGTGTTCTGCCTATGCGAAGCAAACATTTTGCAGCCACAGCGTTGCACCCGAGGGGACACAACTCGTGTAGACTTCGGCGCTTCAATAGTGGCTTTCTAGGCAGTGACGCTGTAATAGGTTTACGTCAGAATGTTGTCTTTAGTTTGTTTATGACAATTTTATCCGTGAAATATAAAATGTTAAGGCGAAATCAAAATTGGTGTTTTTCTACTTTGACAAATAACACTTTTTTCGTTATTTTCTACACAAATCGACCTATCAGAGAACAGCAAATTCAAGGTCACTCGAGTTCTACGCCTTTATCAAGATGATGTTATATGCATATATATATATTGTGAAAAACAACAAACATCTGTAATGTTAGTTATTGTGCCACTACATCGCAATACGGCATTCCTTAACTCAACAATCTGTTGGCGGTGAAGGACTATCTGTTTACCCATGTCGTTATAGAGCAAAAAATAATAATTAAACAGAGTACTTTTGGTTTGGGTTGAATATGTTTTCATATTTTCACTTGTGCAAAACGCTCGAAAAAATATCATAATATTAACCCAACAAGTGAAATAAAACTGATATAAATCAAGAGACCAATGCTATCCTCTTTGTATTTAACCAAATAGTATGTTGACACCAGGGATGGTTTTCTATAACCTCTAAACACACTGGGTTCAATTTTACTTCAGTGTTTCCATTAATCCAGTCTGTCGCAGTTGGGAATGGTACATGAGAGATCGAGCGATCTCTTCTTATACAGCAAACAACAACATACCAGTCTTAGTAACAATTAGACAAAGGAAAAAACAAATAAATGGATACAACAAAATAAAAACGCAAATACTCTAGTATACCCTATCCGTTTGATCCATTTTGATACGAGTACAGGATGTTCGCTGGGTCAATTCTATAACGGTACCTGTAGAAATCAGCTATCGCTTACCTAATGAACCCTGTGTTATCTCTGGCGTTGTTTAAAGTGTTTAATGTTCCAGCTGAAAAACGTGTGTAAATGTTGATGTGGTTGTGGTGTGTCTAGCATCCCTACAATGTTGACCCCGAGTAAACACGTCTATCTCAATCAGTCACACTGAGGGGCTAACCGGTATTAACTGTGTGGGGGATCCCCAGGGCAACACATCAGTCTTAAACAATTTCACAAAGAAACATGCTGTACATAAAAAACTGTTGGTGTGTTCTTCAAGCTTAACAGAAGCATGTATCGGGTATGTCACCCCGCATGAGAACGAGGTTCTATCAGTGTGGACGGAGTAGCCTGTACACGTCATACATCAGGTGTCAACAATGGCAGGCCAAGTTTGTCAAACTTACTTCGAAATCACTCATCTTCGTGGGTTTTTTTTATTTCGTTAATTTCGTTAGCATTCTTCAGCCACAGCCAAAGTTCCATAAAGTCATTATATAAAGTTATATCCACGAATTCATGTACCCACGAAATGACACGTTGGGGGAATAACACGAAACTGAGGACCCCACAAAAATACCTTATATCACAGTACTTTAGAATAAAAGAATTGTGTCAAACTTAATTTAGCATTAATTATCAGTTTTGTTAACCTTTCTTTAGAATGTGTGTGGTGTGTAGAATTTAATTTACCACAATTAGCTCTGTATCATGGTCAATGTCGCATTAAGATAAAAGGTCAAATTCATTGTCCGGGCAATAACTTCTGACTCGCTGAAGATAACTCCATGAAATGTATGTGTATGAACCATTGGATCCGTGTGCCAAGGTCACATTGAAGTCAACGGCAAAATGCATCGTCCGCGCCAGAAGTTCTGATTCTTTGAAGATAAATCAGTACAATTTAAGGGATATATGTAAGATAATAACGCGGCGTGTTGCGTACCACTGTGGGGTTTGTATACCCAAGAATAACACGAAGTTCACATGAAGGCCAAAGGTCAAATAGAATGTCTTGACCATAACTTCTGATAAGTTGAAGATAGCTAAAGATAAATGTAGAATGACAAGGAGTTGTGTCGAAAACTTCAATTTGGTCTTTATATCCAAGGTCAAGGTCATATTGATGTCAACGGTCAAATACACTGTCTGGGCCATGACGTCTGACTCGCTGATGATAGCTTTATGTAATTTCAGGGATAGATGAAGGGTAGGAAGGCAGTGTGTCAGAGTTTGGGTTTGTACGCCAAAGGTCAAGGTCACATTAATGTCACACTTCATTCCAGTCCTTTTCGAGGAGCATACACTGACGTAATCTGTCA